TTTGTCTGAGGTTTAATTCCCAAATTTTGGAGCTATGTAGAAAAATGTCTGTTAACATGATTAGATGAAAATCTGCCATGGACAGCAAGAGGAAGAAAAGATGCCACGATGGAGGCATCACCAGCTTGTTCTGGGCTGAGGTTAAGAAAACTGAGGATTGAGAAGTGTCCTTGCACAAGTGGGCCTCAGTAGCATCCCAAAACAGTGTCAACAGGGACCCTGGCAAGAGGCAGGGCCAGAAGGCAAAGTGTGATCAGATGCAGCTGTGTGAAGTTAAATGCAGCTAGATGCCAAAGAGCTGGATCAACACAGCTGGATGCCAAAGCAGCTGCTGGAACAAGAGATGGTCGACACTACACTGAAGGTCTACTGCACAGGAGATACCAATGACGCATGAACTTCTGTACCATACTGTATGTCCCCATTTCCAAGGCACCCCAGAAGAATGATCTGTGGGACCTCTGAAGGGAGTCACAGAAGAGCTTCCAGCAGTTCTAGAACTTTTTTACAGTAACTCCACAAATACAAGATGCAACCCTCCGGACCATGTCTTCTTCCTTGCCTCTGTTTGTCTGTTTCCTCTATTAGACCATGAGCATCTTCATTATTCTTGTTTGTACATCGGTGGTAGAAATAAAGGCTATTTGCACAAAAAAAAAAAAAAAAAGAGAAGTGTCCTTCCAGCATTGCTGACATCAAGGTCATAGATGTGTTTAGAATTGCATTTCAAGAGTGTAGCAGGACTGAAATGCTCACTAATGTGGGTTGAGAAGTGAAAATGGAGGAAGAAAATAAACATAGTGTGAGCATGGGATAAAGAGAATGGTAACTGGGTGTGTAGTCAGTCAAATGCGATTAAGGGACTTTCTAAGTTATTTAGCCTTTGCTTTCATTGTTAGTTGTTTTGGGTGTGTATTATTGTTTTTCAAATGAAAAATGTTTGAACTAATTTAAATGTTGATGTCCTCCATCCAGTAGGAAAAAAAAACAGGAAGGAGTAAGAATGAATGAAATATCAAGTTCCTAAGCAGGCAAAAGCATGGGGCTCAGAGGAATGAATCAGTCTTGGACCAGACAAGGAAAACCCCACCTACTTTGACAGAAAGATAGTCAAAAGAGAGGGTTCAGGGGCAATTGTGTTCATACACTTAATGAGAAAGCTAACAAAATTCCATCTGATGGCTTCTATGAGACTACCTGCTGAGAGTAGAATACAAGGTAGGTTTAAAAGCTGTGAAGCAGAGAAGAGTGGAATAATGCAATATGCAGTACAGAGGCCTGCTTGAATTTGATGAGCATCAATTTATGAATTCATGAACATTTGTCTGGTCATACGTATTCTGACATGATAGGACAGATTACGTTCTGTAAGATATCATGTATATCATAAAAGACCTATGTTTCCACATTATAAACTTAGCAAAAGTTCATTGCATTTTTAGAAATCTTCATCTACAGTTCATGTTAATTTGTACATAGCACAAATAAAAATATTTCAGGGGAGAAAGTAGAATTTTCTTCCTGTTTAGAATGTCATTTTCCAAACCTAGCAAACTTTCACCATTTTGAGCAATTTGAAATTCCAACTGAGGATCTGTTCAAACAGATGAAGGGGCAGTTGATGCATGAGGATTTCACTGCAAATACTACTATCCTTTTCTCTCATTGCCCCTCCAGAACCCAGCACTGTGTTACCAATTTACCGTGTAGATATCTGTTTTAATAAATGGTTAAGACGCCACTGAGCACACAGCAAATGCCAAATATATAACTGCTGTTTGATAAAAATGCCTCTTATCAGAAAGGCCAATATTTGTATGTATAAAATGCTTCCAAGGGCCTTAAAAATAGTTTGCTCTTTTAAATGAGTTAAACATACCCACAGAAATCATGTTGACATTACCCACTTGCTTAGCAGAGATAAACATTTGTCTTAGTCCAGTCAGAATTCTTTCAATTTCAAAGATTTGGCATTAGAATGCAGGAAATTTTACTATTTCAAAAATATTTATGCATCAATAAGTTATAGACTCACCCACGCCCTCCTATGTATTTTAGATGTTGGGGAAGGTGTAGCAGGGTGCGGAGGATTACTCACCAAGTGACATTTCCATTTTGGTTAACTACAGTCCAGTAAGCACATTAGCAAACTGAACAGAGGTAACCAAGACCCACACTATCATAGCATGTAGCTATTGAGTGTGTCCTTTTTATCAGAGACCATCTATTCTGTTTCAACAGGATTGGAAACAGTCTTTGCTGATGTTGTTATAAATTGGTCATTAATCAAGATGGATTTATCAAGCATCCATACTGTGCAAAGCCTGCACTAAGTGATTCAAAATATCAGGTTGCTTAGTTACCATAAAATGGAAAAATTCCCCTGTGAAGGTTAAAATTAAATGAAAGGCAGATAATAAAACATTATCTTTGATAGCATCTGACTACTTCATAAAGGCTTTTACTGCCATCACAGCAATTTTATTTTAAGGATCATTCAGTTATTCATTTAATTATTCATTCATTTATGTAACTGAGTCACCACCATCATCACATATGGCCCTTTGCTTGATGCTCTAAGGGAAACAAATAATTTGAAACTGGCTGCATGAACATGACTTCTCAGCAAGTGTAGCAAGCAAACACTGGAATACTGTTGATCTGCATCTACGAAATCCAGGACACAGAGCAGTACCATTCTTCACTTCGTATAAAATCTGTACTCATTGACACATTACTAAAATGCTTAAAAGCATGTTTTGGTTAATTGTAAAATTTTGCTGACTACAGATATAAAAATAATTCACTTTTAGATTTAAATTAAATAGTATACATGATAATTACTTCTCATGTTAGGATGAGATCTATTTTATACTAACTCATTTAATTAATAAATACAAGAAACAGCTACAGGGAGGGAACTAACAAACACAGTTAATTGTAATTTTCTGATAAGATATGTATTGTATATCTCTGAATGGCAAAGCTAGTTATAACCAGGACTCCCAGGCTGTATTGCCTCTGAAGGAAGCAAGCCAGGCAGTCTGGGATGCATCCACAGACCCATTCAACCACATGTGCTCCTCCCTCCCGTGCACTGAGCTCTGTTCAGTTACGGTCCCCATATTACTTTCCATATTACTTTCCTTTTTGCGGCACAAAGCACTACTCACTGCAAGTTAGCAATGCAAACTTATGTCCTTAGTTCTGCAAACAGATGTTCCAAACCAAGGTGCCAGAAAGGTTGGTTCCTTCTGAGGGCTGTGAGAGAAGAATTTGTTCCAGGCCTCTGTGCTTGGCTCGTGGATGGCCATGGTCTCCCACTGTCCTCCCTCTGTGGATGTCTATCACTACACCTCCCTCTTATAAGAACAAAAGTCATGCTGAATTAAGGCCTATTCAGTGGCTGATTTTAATTTGATTATCTCTAAAAAGACTCTGTCTTCAAATTCTACAAATAAGGTCACATTCTGAGATAATTGGGGGTACGATGCCAGACTTTCTCTCTTTTTTGGTGTGAGGGGAACAATTCAACCCAGAACAGTTCTCCTTAATACCTGATCATCCCTTCCATGTCTGAGTCTGAGTTTGTGTGTGTGTGTGTGTGTGTGTGTGTGTGTGTCTGTCTGTCTGTCTGTCTGTCTTTTCTTCAGAAAGCTTCTAAATGCAGTTCCTGTGTAGATTATCCCCACTTTGTAAGCCTAAGCCATGCTATTCAACACAATTAAACTAAAGTTACAGAATGTCTTCCCTGAGGTGTAATTCTTTAATCCCCTTGCCTAGTATTATCCAAATATCAAAATCTCTAAGGGGAGAAAGAATGTGTTTCATTCCTCCATACCTCTCAGTTTTCTTGTTTCTTTTATGTTACCAAGCAAACGAATCCATTTGGAAAGACGTATTTTAGAATTTCTTTATATTTACAACCATGGTGATCCTCTCATTCTCTCTCAGTAATGTCTATGTTTTTCTTAGACTAGCTTGGTCATAGGTTCTACCCATTCTGCTTTTGCTTTTCATTTTTTTTATCATCCACATCTTGCTATACTGGATTAATTCCTCCAACTTTAAACTTGACCCAGGTTTGTTTATACTAAAATAAACTGATTCCCCTCTCTTACCTACTTTCCTCTTAAGCTACTATCCCAGCTGTCCTAACCTTGAAAGAGTAAAATGTATTCTCCACTTCCATTTCCTTATTTCCCGCTTCCCAGTGTCTCACTATTTGCTCCTAAAAGTCTAGTTTTACCACATCACTTGTGAAATTTACTGTTTCAAAGTAAGTAAGCATTGGTTGGATAGCCAAAAAAACAAACAAAGCCTCTTCCAAACCGTCCCTATAAGTCCTTGTAGCATTGAATATATTGACCAGCCACTTGAAGCTTTTCTTTGTTTATCAGCTTTCATGTAATTATGCTGTATGTATTTTTAAAGGCATTGGTAAAAGGACAGAAAACAAAAAAATCCCTGTTCAAACATAGGTCCCACGACTGACTGATCTTAAATAAGGCACAGCTCCAATTTCCTTGGCAATAAAATGGAAATAATATTTGCCTTATCTTGTTTACCAATTTTAATTTGAATAAGCAAAATAATAGATCTCAAAATGCCATGAAAGACATAAAATGTTCTAAGTAACTAACTACATTCTGGTTACTTGGAAATAGATAGGATACTAGAGGTATGTAAAGACTTTTGCTACTAAATCAGCTAGGAAAATCTTAAGGACCTAATGCTTTATATCTGACTTAGCAGGTTTTCCATGATTAAAAGATTTCAAAGTGTCTTCTTCAAGGCAGAATCATCCCCATGAAGCATTCTTACCAGTTAAGAGCTCTCACATCAAAACCCTGAGTTAGCCATAGTTACTTAAAAATGCAAAAATCTGCCTGACGCTATATTGGGACACTTCATGATGATAATATATTGGGAAATCAATATGCACCTTCACTTATACAAGCATGCAAACTGAAGTGGTCCAACTATGCAGGGAATATTACCAGCTCTGGGGGAAGGTGCCCTTGCAATTTCTAAAGAACAAGGTTTCTTCGTAACAGCTGTGTCCATAAGATCACATAGGAAGTTCTCATTTTCTGAAGGAAATGTGTCCAGGGAAGTAGATGGTACAATTTCCATGGTGTAGTTCCTCTTCTTTAGATAGGACTCCTGCAAGGGACAAAAAGAAAATAATAATAAAAACAACTTTGTAATAAAAGCACAGCCTTGTTTATGAAAGTTAGAAAAGATAAACAGGTTAACCAGTGCTTCCAAGGTGATTTGGGAGCCAATGATTACGTTTGAATAAGTTATGTAATTGCACAATCCCAATATCACCAATAATACTTCTTAAAGAATTCTTATAATTTGATTTCCTTGAATTTATTACTAAACTAGTGAAGTTCTTGTCCTCTTTTTTGGTAATATACATCTATTTTCTACTTCTGGCATGAACTGCTGTTGAATCAATAGTATTCCCAAGGCCTCCTTTGCCTGCTGCCTGCCTCCTAGCAATAGCCGCATGACCCAACTCTGGCCAGTTAGATATAGGCAAAAGACTGCAGGGAAGCTTCTGGAAAATATATCTCCTAGAGAAGAAACTTATTTTCAGAGCTGAGGTCATCCCTAAGATCATCTCTCTAGATCCAGGTTTGATGCAGGGGCAAGCACTTTGTGACCATAAGGTAATAAGCCCAAGACCAAAAAATTAACAAACTAAGAAAAGCAACATTAGAATAGAAAGAACCTAGTAACTTGTTGATAATATTGAGCTAGTTCAACAGATCCAAGATCAGTTTCCCCAGGCTTCTGAAGAATATAGTGATATTCTTATATTTTGAGCCATTGCTATTTGGGGTTTCTCTCATTTAGAGTTAAAATAATTACGATTCAACATACTAGTGTTTTCCTTTGTGAATATCATTAACTAATATACCAAAGTTATCATTTTTAAGTTAGAATAGCATTTAGGTCCAATTCTGTATTACTGATTATTCAATATCTTCTAAAAACTGGAACTCATTTCATTTTATAAAATCTTAATTTATAAATGAGACATTAATGGGTTATCAAATATTCATTGGGCATGTATGTGTGTGTCTCTGTGTGTGTGTGTGTGTGTGTGTGACTCTGCTAAGTACAGAGATTTTTAAAATGAATAAAATGTAATCCTTGGTCTCAGGAAGTTCACAGTCTACTGAAGAAAAAAGATTATCTACATGATGAATTTCAAAATGAATCATGTTTCATTTTTTTGTATTTGTTACCTTATAAAGTACACTTCACTATCAAGAAATAAATAAGAAAATAAACTCATTTTCAAAAACTCTGAGCTCCTACTTTTTCTATAATGATATTTACAGTACAGCAGAATTCAAGGTCAGTGTAATTGCTTTCAGACCAAACTAGACCCTCACACATCAAAGAGTCAATTATGTTCACTCTACTCTATTGAAAGCAGGAAATTGGGAGTAATTTATTTTTAACAACAAAGGGTGACAAAGTAGAAAGCATCCAGAGGAAAGCAATCAGGATGGTATATGATTTAAAAACCATGTCAAGGAAGAAATGATGAAAGGAACTGCAGTGTTCTGTCCAGAGAAGCCTTTCAGCTACATAATAGTTTTCTCAACCTATTTGAAAGGTGCTCCCTCAAGAGCTATCCCACAAAGGGGAGGGAAGGGCAGAAGTTGCTGCAGTAGATTTATTTCAAAGCCATTAAAGGCAAAACAAAAATCAATATTTGTAAGTCAAGAATGGAAAATTTGGGTCAATACCAAAAATAGCTTTTATGGATTAATAACATTGCTTATCATTTAAAATGAAAATGAAGTGATAAAATAATTAACAAATAGCATTACAAAGCAAGAGACAGAACTCCTCACAACTAGAAATCTTCCTGCAGAATTATAGATGAAATACATTGTACATTGCTTATACCAGGTGACTGTAAGCTCTAGGAGGTCTAGAAATTGTCTGGTGCAATACTGTATTCCCAGAATCTAACACAGCTGCTGCCACATATTTATTGATCAGCTAAACAGTCTCAAGTTTTCTTTAAGCAAATCTAACTACTGTTTATGGAAATGCCTAGCCAATCACACTACACCACAGGGCAGGCAGCCAGCACAGGAAATGCCTAGGACATGGCAACTGGCTCATCCAAAGGATCCCAGGGTAAATCCACTTGAGCAAGGGGCAACACTTTGCATACAAACTCCTAAATTATGATTGGTTCTATTATATAACTATAGACTTTGCTCCTATGGTCTACAGTATAAAATTAATAGTTACCACAGTTTCTCAATTTGTAAATTGTGCTTGATGCTATCACTATTGCTCATTGTACTACTGTAGCTAGGATGTCACATCTGTTGTAATCAGTTGTTCTCCCTTGTGTAACATTATGGGGAAGCTCTAGGGTAATAACCTTACCATACCCTACACCAAAAGACTGGGGACAGAGCCAAACAAAAACTAACATTTCACTGTCAATTAACTGGGAAGGTGGGATTTGGGACAGACATAAACCAAGAATCTTTTACACACAGAAGTTATCCCTGAAGAACAGATTTTTCCTAGAGAGGCCTTGATACTAGTGATATAGTTACCTACTACAAGACCTCACAAGGATCATCACAGAAAACAAAATTTTAAAAAGTTTTTGAAAAAGAAAATGTCAAGACAAACGAGCAAAATCCAATCTCAGACTTCCAGCCCACCAAGAACAAGTCCAGGAAACATCAACATGGAAAAACATGGGAGTCACACACCTGAAAATTCTGAAATGATAGCAACTGAAGTAAAGAAACAACTCCAGGAGGCTGTACAAGAAATCACATCAGAAATAATCTCTCAGGTAAAAATAGAAGAGAAAACCATAATGAAAGAACTGCTTAGCATATCTAAAAGAGACATAGATGAAAAAGATAGAGAAGCATAAGGAAGTGATGGAAACCATGAATAAACAATATAGGAAAAAATTAGAATGCATGAAACAGATTCAAAGAGATATCCAACAAATTAAAATTTCCACTGAAAGCTGACAAATCCACTTGAACAAAACAGAAGACAGACTTTCAGACCTTGAAAACAGGATTGCAACTATCAATCACAAAAGAAAAGACCTCTTAAAAATAACAGGAAACCAGGAAATAACAATTCCAGAGCTGCAAGATGATGCAAAGGAAAACAATATAAGACTTATACTGTCAACAAAAAAGTAGGCGACAACAAAAATGACATAAAATGACTATTTGCAGAAGTAATAGTACAAAATTTCCCAAACATGGGAAAAGAATCTGACATACATACAAGTGAGGAATATAGAACACCAAATAGCCATAACCAAAATAAATCTACACCTAGACATATAATAATCAAGATCCAAGAAATTCAGCGAAGAACAGAATATCAAAAGCTGTTAGAGAAAAAAAACAGACCACTTATGAGTGAAAGCCCATCAAAATAATGGCAGACTTCTAAATACAAATCATCAAGTCAAGAAGAGCTTGGAGTGAAATATTTCAACTCCTGAAAGAAAACAACTTCTAACCCAGATTGATATACCCTGCAAAACTATCTTTTTTATTTTAAAAAGTGAAAGAAAACAATCACAAAATAACAACTATGAAAACAGAAAACAAAACAATATAAAATCAATGCAGGATTGCAAAAGATGGTAGGAATTAACAATGGTTGCTATATTACATACTGTTATCTTCAATGAAGTTGTTCAGATTACCAGTTGCAAGAATGCAAGATTGATCAAGCAATTAAAAACAATGACAAATAATAAAAAACACATTAGAAATGATACAGAACTTCATCAAACAAGATGGTAGGAATTCAGCACTGGCTGTTATATTGCATATTGTCTTCAAACAAGCTATTCTGATTAAGCATGAAAAATTGGTCAAGAAAAAAGAAAAAAAAGAAAAAAAGGAAAAGAAAACAATTTAAGTATTAACTGTTCCTTTCAACAAACCAACAGATATCAGCAACACACTTATCCCAGCTATCCTTGTATATGCATACATATTTTCTCTTTTTTTATTTAATTTTAAAGAGAAAAATACCAAAAACAAAATAACAAAAACAGGCATTAACAAAAGAACATAAAAACAATGAAAATGATACAGAATTTCAAAACAAGGTGAAAGGAACTCAACAATAGTTGTTATACTGCATATTGTTACCTTCAAAGCAGTTGCCCAGATTACCAGATATAGGTATGCAAGATTGACCAAAAAAAAGAAGTTAAACATTAACTTCTCCTTTCAATAAACCAATAGAAACACTAACACAACTGCAGTAGGGGATTTAACACTCCATTGTCACAAACAGATGGATCAACTAGACAAAAAATTAGCAAAGAAATAATAGAACTGAACTAAACTCATGAACAACTGAGAAGACCTTTACACAGTGTTTCACCCATCCTTCTCAGCTGCACATGAGACGTTCTCTAAAATAGACCATATACTACTAGCCCATAGAAAATGCTTAAGTAAATGCAAAGGCACTGAAATTGTCCCATACATATCATCTGACCATAGTGCAATGAAATTGGAAATTACTGACAAAAGAAACCACAAAAACTCCACAAATACATGGAAATTAAACAACACTATTCTGCACAATCAATGGGCCAAAGAGAAAATAAAAGAAGAAATTAAACAGTATCTAAAATCAAATGAAAATGCAAATACAAATTAACAGAACCTATGAGACACAATGAAAACAGTCTGCAGAGGGAAATTTATAGTGATGAATTCTCACGTCAGGAAGCCAGAATGAGCATGAATAAACAACCTAATGCTGCACCTCAAGTTTCTAGAAAAAGAGCAAATCAAGCCCAAAGCCTGAAGAAGGGAGGCAAATATAAAGATCTGAGTGGAAATTAATGCAATGGGAGACTGAAAAAACAATACAAAGAATAAATGAATTGAAGACTGGGTTCATTGAAAGAATAAATAAAATTGATAAACCCCTAGCCAAACTTATCAAAAAAAAGGAAAGAAAAAACTCAAAATTCATGCAATGAAGAACGAAATGGATGAAATCACTACAGATCCTGTAGAAATTCAGAGGATCATCAATATCTACTTTGAAAATCTTTACACACATAGGATAGAAAATACAAAAGAAATGAACAGATTCTTAGATAC